GCTCGGCCTTATGTTGCCAAACCAGTTAAAACCTACTTGGAAACGCTCAAATGGGAAGTCCTACCCCACTCGCCATATTCCCCAGATATTGCGCCGTCCGATTATTACTTGTTCCGTTCTATGGCACATGGTCTGGCTGATCAGCAGTTCCGCTCATATAAAGACATCAAAAAATGGCTTGATTCGTGGATAGCTTCACAAGACGAACGCTTTTACCGTAACGGTATTCGAACTCTGCCAGAAAGATGGGAAAAAGTTGTAGCTAGCGATGGGCAATACTTTGAATGATTCATTTGTAACCATTTTTTCACAATAAAGTTGCATTTTCATAAAAAAAAACAGCGCGAACTTAGTTGCGCACCTAATATGTATATAAATATAATATAATATGTATAGATACATATAACATATTTTATATAAAAAAATATATAAACATTTTATTCGTTCAGTGTACAAAAGTAGATATGATTTTGTGTGTGCAAAAGTAGATATGATACATGTTTATTTTGAAACGAGAAAACAAAACACTTAGTTTCTACATCTACTTTCCAACACTCAAAATTGTCAGATAATTTGTCAACAACAAAAATGTTTAATATTTCAGATTTAATAGGATAACTGTAGAGAGATTCATATACGCAAAATCGTTTACCTAGTATAAGTATTGTGTTATCACTCTTTAGGAAATTATGTATTTCTATAACATAAGTACCAATCATGCAGTAACAATTTGCTTGAGAATATCTATTAGTAGTTAAAACAAAATCTTTGAAATAAACTTTTTTGAACTGTTTGTAGGATACCGTTGTTGAACTCGTTAGACCTAGACAGTGTTCTATTACACACGTAACACAATTTATTTCGGGTGATTTTATATTATTTTGTTCCGAAAATGACTTAATTTGTTTCAATTTATTGCATATTTGTTTTAACGGGTGTTTTGTAGATTAAACAAAACGCAACAAATATCATAAATAATTTTCGAAAGGAAAAGCTGTAAAGTTATCAAGTTTCCCATACATTGAAATATCTTCAGGTAAATGAATCAAATTATGGACGTTATAAATAAGAAACTCTGGGTTATATAGATGCTCACTGTGTTAAACAAATTTTTAAAAATACAGAAGCCATTTGATAACCTAACATCGCAATGTGTTTGTCAGAACATAAAATAACTATAGCCGCATGTAATAATGTAAAGTGTTCATAAATGGAATAATCTACAATCCCTTTAAGGACAACTGGACCTATGTATAAAAGAAAAGTTCTATATTCCGTTGCCTTAAAACGAGCTAGTTTATATAAAGATCGCGGTTTTCGGTTAATTTCTTTCGGAATATTATTTTTTAAAGAAATTCTTTCTGATAAACATTGAACTGAATGAGATGGCAATCGAACTTTACAATCGCCACTAATCCAACAATTTAATAACTTTCGAGTTACTCCTAAACAAACATTGTGCATATAATCAATGGGAAATAAAGTAACAAGTCCGATTTGTAATTTCAATAACGGAGAAACACCCGTATAATGATCTTCGTCAGTTTGGGAACAAAATGATTCGTCTGTGCATAATGGCATATCAATATTTCTTAAAATTATTCTGCCTTTGAAATATTCTCCTGGCATCAAGAGATATTTCGGGATAAAAACAATGCAGTAAATGAAGTAATGATATAAGAGAAGAATGTGATACTTGAATTGGAAGCAGCCCAAGTTCTTAATAAATGCACGATAGAGATGCGGTTTTTTCATTATTACATAGTAGCGTTTCCATGGCACTTTTTCTATCTGTAGATTAATTATATCGAATGTCGTGTTGCATTCATGATTTACTATTAAATTTCTGCTTATGGTTAAGTTATCAAACGGTAGTTCATCATTACTTGAAACTTCTAAACTATCAATATTGTTTTCAGAGCAACAATCGTCTACAACACACAACGTGTTCACAGACACATCAAGTAACTTGCTATCGTCATATCTTTCTTCGTTCAATAAACTACATAATAGCCGTTTATTTTGAAAGTGACCTAAGTCCATTTATACTTAAATTGAGATATTTAAGAGTTTGCGTTTCAATAAAATTAAAAATATACGTATAGGATATCAATGTGTCATACTGCTTAAGTGTATCTAAAAGAATTAAATTTACAATTCCTATTAAAATAATAAGAATTATTAAGTGAATAATATGTGTTTTCTTGCCAAAAATGGAGTTAAGCCACTTTCAAAGTTAACAACCAGATTCGTTATAAAATTTGAAAGAGCCCAAGTCCATTCGACATAATTTAAAATGCTTCAAATTGAAAAAATACTCAATTTATTTTATATTTCTTTACAACACAAAAACACAATTTATGCAATTCAGTAAATTTTCTAACTACATAAATTACATAACAATTTACTGCTCATCTACATTTTGTGCGGGAAGAAGTCATGGTGCTCCGGTGGTATATATCGTAGTAAGTGCATCATGTCCTTGTATTTCGCTGTTGTAATTCGTCTTATATTTTTATAAAGTGGTATCAATACAATATTTTCGAACTTTCTTGGTCTACCCCGACGTGGTAATAAATCCAGGATTTTAAACTCTGCATTCTCATCCACTGATATCTTATAGAAAATTTTATATGGTTCATTTCAAAAAACGCATCCAGCATATTTTTAACCAATTTATTGTTTCTTCGTTAGAATTCTTTACCCTTTTAAAAACTGCGTCCTCCAAAAATTGGTTGATATGAAATCCTCTTGTTTCATTTCATTTCATTTAGAATAAAGTTATTATCTTTTCGACACTTTTTGATAACATTATAATAATCTTGGAGGACAAACAGTAAATTATTTTTCTTTAATGACATTTCTACGACGCCAAAATCTCTATCATTCGGTAAAAACGAATGTCCTGATACTAAGAATTTATGGTCTATGATTTCCACATTATGTTCAACAGTTTGAACAATTTTTAGCCACGTTAAAGCTACTTTAATGTTCCTATTTTGTCCTGCACACATGTCACTGTAAGCTATAATATGTCTTTCACTTCTTACATTTTTTAAATATTTCAAGATGCATGAAATTACTTCTTGGGAACCTCTTGATGCAATAGTTTCATCCCAAACGTACATGTGAACATTATCGTTATGAAAATTGTGAATACCCAAATTTAGAACGTATATATTGCATTTATAATATGCTACTGAAGTAGTCAACTTTGGATAAGGTAATGCTTTTTGCAAGTCGAAAGAAAAAGCGAAATAATGATCTGAATTACGTAATACTAGTTCTTGATCTTGTTTTAATGACTTCCTAGCTAATTCTGCTAGCCTTAAATGGACATCATGTTCTTCCATAAGTTTATTCTTTTCTTCATCATCATCCGATGTTTTAATTTTAATGTTTAATAGGTCGCATTTTTGGCATGTATCTTTGCGCGGTTGGTGGAAATGTAAATCAAAATCTTTTTTAAATATTTTTCTGTAAGTCCATTCATTAACGGCTTTTATATTATTTTCCTTGCAATGAAGCTTGTATAAATTAAACATTTTCTTTAGAGTTAGATCAGGATGTAGATATCTTCTATTAGGGTTATGAGATCTGGTATAATGGGATTCAAATTTGGGAAAACTTTTAATATGGTTTTGAACGTGCTTTTTCTCTTCCTCAGAAATTTTTCTCGATGATCCAACCATACGCCCACGTAAATCATTTCCTACATTTGCAGAGTTTAATACAAGTTTTAATCGTCCTTCACTTATTTTGAAGGTATCCAAAAAGAATTTTTTACAGACGGGAACTTTTCCGTTTTTAGAATTTAACAAATACCTAAAACTATAATTTCTTGGCGAACCTTTTCCGTTTTTTTGACGTTTTCGCTTCACAGCATAGCGCTCGGTAGCTTCGTATAGCAATACATTTTGTTTATTAAAATCTTCCAAGTACCAAAAGTTCTCAAAAGTATTCTTTCTTTCTTCTTCTTCGTAATTTTTTATGCAAGTTTTTCGACAACGACAATCTTTGTTTTGAAAAACTTTTGCAGGTATAATATTTCCAGTTTGAGTATAATATCTTTTCCCTGTATTCCGTTTAATTTTTCGCACTTTTTGGATGTATGTTTCACCATTTTTTTCTCTGTTGTCATCTGTATCTTCATCCTCTGACGACGAATGTTGTTCTATAATTCTCTTTTTCTTTCTTTTGTTGAAATCATTAGTTACTAATTCATGTTCACTATCTGAATTAAATGGTCTTGTTGTTTTATTCTTCCCCATGGGTGTAATAATTTCTATAATTTAATATTTTAAGTTTTATATTCAATTGTAAATGTGTATTGCGTGAATTTTCTTTCACTACATTAATTAAACGTACTGATTATTCAACTAAAGCAACAGTCCAAAAACTGAGGTTAAGTTGTTAAATACTAATTAATTAAAATTACCTTCATCATTGTCTTCGGACATATATAAATCCGCACTTTCACATTACCAATAATGGATTGGACTTAGGCCACTTTCAAAGTAATGGTTTTAATTATTGAACTAACTGCGAAAACTTATGTGTCCAAAATTATCATGTATACTCTGAATATACTTAACCGCAAATGTTGTTTATGACAGTAAACTTCAAGTTGTATACGTTACTATGGTCAACAAAAAATAATTGACAAATGGACTTAGGCCACTTTCAAAATAAACAGCTAATATTGCATGTACCGAGTTTATATATTTTGCAAATCTACGATAAAATTACCGTTTTCCTACAAACAGTTTTACTTTTCTTTTCTTTATGGCAGACATGTTATTCCAATTTTTATCTAATTAAGTAATTAACTGATAATTAATAAATGTAATATTTAATAAAATAATATTTAACGACGCGTTATCACAGAAACATAACACAAGTTTTCTTTAGTTAATATTGCTAGCAGCTGTTTTTCTGGAATTATAGATTAGTCTTAATTAAAGAACATTTAACGTTCCACTTTTTTATATAACAAACATTTAATTATTCTTATTCGCTTTAAGAGAAGACCGTTGCGGGGCGTGTTTTAACCATACCTTTACGCAGTTTTCTATTTCATGTTGCGTACTACTGAGTAATGCCTTTTGAACAGATGTGATCACTACATCGTTGAGCTTCAATTTTGCAAAGGACTTTTTATTATTTCGCTTTCCCAAGAAGCTATAAAACGATGCAAACTTATCCGAAAGAATCCGACGAAGTATATTATTTGTTATTGATGTTGCATCTCCGCGACCTCCAATTGTCGACAAATAAGAAGTCTAAAAAAATACAATTTATTAATAATTGAACATATTTATTTTATATAGGCTACTTAATATATTGTCGCGAATATTTATTTTACCAGAGTAGAAATATTTTCTTCCTTTTTAAGGTATTCTTCTAATCGCGTAACATCTTCAAATGTTGCTAGTAGTAGAATGCAAGGTAACTGTGGAAGCTGATTAAATGTGGGTACTGTTGCAATGGAATTGTTAGTGACTTTTAAGATTTGCATTATCTGATCGTTTTGATTGCACATATCCGCATTCTGTCGTTTTACAAATGTAAATGAAGCATATATCCCAGACAGCACAGGACATCCATAGGACATCCATTTCATGTCCATTTTACGTCCTTATGTCCAAGGATATGAACAGGACATCTACAGGATATCCGATTTTGAACATGAAACGGATATCCTCATCAGTATATCTTATGGACTTTTGATATCTGTCCAAGATGAAACAAAGTTCAGAATATGTTAGAGAACGGCTTTATATATGTTTTAACGATTTACCCAGACAGCACATAATATTTATGATAAAGATTTATAAATATTTATTTCCAATTTTTTTTTTTTAATATTATATAAATATTTTATAAATATTTATATACATAAAAAAAAAGTATCAAAATCTTTATTCAAAATATTATTAAAATATAGGCTAAATATTTTATGCAATATTTATAGTAAACAAAAAATAAATATTTGTAGTAATATTTTGTAAATATTTCTATAAATATTATATATCAAAAAAATTAATGTAATTATTTATAATTATTAAATTAATGAAGAAATAAGAAAATCAAAATTTAAATTGGTAATGTATATTGAAAAAAATTCTTTAAATCAAAGAAATATATTTTGACTAACAGTAAGAATTGAAGAGGCAAATAAGGAGTACAGCACGGATGTCTTAGTGCTATTAAATACTAATATTACTTTTATATAATATTAATATGATAGTGGGATGATAATTATGTCCAGCATGTCAAACGCACTGAAATTTATCTTCGATTAACGTACGAGGCGAATCTACCTTTCATTCTTAGACTGATCTTTGAGTCCCAATTTTATATATATACAGGGTGGACCATTTTAATCCATCCAGTCGAATATGTCGAAAACCAAGTACGGGAGAGAAAAATTTTTCAGACAAAAGTTGTTTAGTTTCGAGGGGACCATAAAATGGTACCATTGCATTGACCTTGAAGAATTATTTGAAAGTCACATGAAAGTCACCTCAATTTTTTTAAACAGCATCCCCTATTTTTTATTACATATTCTTGTAGCTGACCTCGAGAGCTTTCCAAAACATTGTAATGAAATGTTTCTTCATTGAGTACTTTTCGAGTTATAAAGCTCCAAAGTTGCAATATGAAAAAATTCAAAATATCTCGTAAAGTATTCACTTTCCGTCTTATCTTACACGATTCAACTAGTCAAGGCAAGAATTGGACATGATCCAACC